TGTATGTTTATATATATATACCTCTATCTATATACGTATATATCTATATATCTATATATATGGGGTCCACTACTGCCCTCAGCCTTTCTATTCCCCCCTCCAATCCTTGCCTCCTTGGTTTCGTAACCTCCCCTCTTGTGCCCCTCGTATCATCCCCTTTCCCTTTGCCTCCTTCGGGCCCCGTCCTACCCTCAGGCCCTTGAGCCCACTGGCCCCATCGGCCCTGCCCCCATGCGCTGCATGGCGTTCTCGTGCTCCTGGTTGGCAAGGCGCCGGGCGCGAGCTGCCTCTTTCTTCTCCTCCTCGGACAGCCTCGGCCCCGCCTTCGGCTTGGCCTTCTTGGCCACGCTGTTCTTGTCGCTCTTCCTCTGCATAGCTTGCCTGGGCCAGCGGGTGGGCTGGCGATCGCATCTGGCCCCCCCCCCCCCCCCCCCCCCCCCATGCATGGTCGACCTACCTGTGCGGGCCCAATTGAACGAAGGTCGACACCCTGGCCCCTGCGCGCAGGATGTATACGTCGACGTCGTAGAGTCTGGAAGGCCCCCTGGCCCCTCGCGCGCGCGCAGGGCGCAGCCCTGCGCGCCAGGGTTCGAACATTAAAAACATTACGAACGTCAAACACATTTAAAACATTAAACGAACATGAAACGAACATTAAACGAACATGAAAAAAACGTTAAAAACATTGAAAACAAAACATTCCGAACATGGAAAACGTTAAAAACGTTGAAAACGCTAAACAAACATTAAACTAACCTTAAACGAACATGAAAACATTACGAACATTAAAAGCATTAGAAACGTACGTGGGGTACGTGTTCTTTGTTTCTTGTTCGGGGGCGGGGGGTGGGGGGGGGGGGGGGGGGGGGGGGGGGGGGCGCGCGCCGCCGCCCGCCCCGACAACCGCCCTGCGCGGACGCAGATGGCCTGCCCCTCGTTGGACCACGTGCGCGCGCGTAGAAAGAGCCCGCCTGGTAGAGTCCTTGCCTTGTGTGTCCTTGCCGCGCGCCGTCGGCGCTGCCCAGGTCGACCTGGGCCGCGCGCGCGCTCTCTCTCGCCCCCCCCCCCCCCCCCGCCCGACCAGGGGGTATCGTGCGGGCGCGATCGAGGTCGCACCCGCCCGCGAGCCCCTGCTGCGAACCTCCGAACGCCCGCCCGCGAGCCTCCCCCCCCCCACCGCCACCACCACCGCGGCGACTTCCACCCAAACGGCCCCCCTGGTCCTCTCCCCCCCCCCCCGCCGCCACCACCGCGAGTCCCGCCCACGCGGCCCCCCTGGCCCGCGAGCCCTCGTCGCGAACCCCCAGACACACACACGCGGGCCCTCGATTAACGAGTGGGGTGATCCTCGCCCTCGTCCTCTTGGTCCTCCTCCTGGCTCTGCGTCCTCCTGGCCCTCCCCGGCCTCGTCCTCTTGGTCCTCTTGGTCCTCCTCGTCCTCGTCCTCGTCCTCCTGGTCCTCCGTCTCCTCGTCCTCTTGGCCATCCTCTTGGCTCTGCGCCCCCCTGGCCTTCGATCGTCGAACTATCGGTCGATCGAGGGTCATCCTGGTCGATCCTCCTGTCCCCCATGCTCATCCGATCGGTCGTCTGGTCTATCATCTGGCCCCTTCCTCCTGGTCCCACGGGCCCCTCAAGGCCTTCCCCCATCGGTCCATACATATATATATATATATATATATACATGTATGAATCGCTCGTTGTTGTCGTGATCCCTTTTCGCCAGGTGTCCAGCGGCGCCCCGCGGGCGAGCGAGGCGCGCAGGGGCAGGGCAGGGGTACCTGGACCAAGAACCTGCGAGGTCAATCTCAGTGGCCGTGGCACCGTCCAGATCCCCATCCTCGGCGCCCTCGTCCTATCGATCCCGCCTCGAGTCCGCATCGATCCACCATGGCGCAGAACAGGGCTGCGCGGACCAAGAACCTGCGAGGTCGATTGCCGTTGCCGTGGCATCGACCAGCCAATATTGATGGCTGGTTCATGCCGCGGCAACGGCGGTCGACCTCGCAGGTGACGTGTACAAGTGCACTTTGCCCAAATGCCAAACTAATCGATGGGGGACTCGAGACCTCGCATCCTCGATCTTCGGCCTCCTCCGACCGATCCGCTTTCCTCAGCGCCCGCCCTGCTCTCCCTGGGGCACGACACGGGCGCTTTGACAACGCGCCTGCGAGGTCGACCGTCGTGGCCGTGGCATCGGCCAGCCATCGCCTCATCCCCCTCGAGCCTCCGACGATCACCTGCGTTCCCCTTGGGAGCCGACGGCGTCCCGCGTGCAGCCCTCGGCCCCCATGGGGGTCGGTCGGCGCAGTCGACGGCGCCGCGTGCGCAATCCCAATCGGCTCCTTTGGGAACCGACGGTCGGTCCCGCGCGCGCAGTCCCAGGGAGCCTACGGCACCGCGCCCAGCCCCAGCCGAATCGATCCCAAGGGAGCCGACGCAGCGGCCAGTCCCTTCAGTCAGTCCGACAGCCGCGCGTCAGCCAGTCAGTCAGTCTTCCCCTCATCCCCCCCCCCCTCCTCGGTAGATCCGCCTCATGGCGTGGGCCGCCAGACACCATGGGGCGCTCTCGATCGAGCAGGCGCGACCCAGGCATGCTTACTCGAAGTGGTGCTACGCCCCGCGCCTCCCCTTCCTCCCCCCTCCGCCCTCTCGCCTTTGATAGCATCGATCCTCCTCGGGCTGGCAGGAATCTCACTCGGGCTGCATCGCATCTCATGGCATTCACCTGCATGGCCAAAACTTACATGTCATGGTCTGCTTATCTGTACCTGTCTCGCCTAGCCTGTACGCCTGCATGGTCTACCTATCCATTCTTGCACCTCCTAGCCTATATATCTTAGCCTGCCGATCCTGAGCCAGCATTTCAAGTCTCGAAGTTTAGAGATGCATGATTGGAGTAACGAGTCGACGAGGTACGCGCACGTTTGTGCAAGTGGCCGCAGCTTAGTCTATTGCATAGTTATATGTATCCAGCCATGCCGCCTGGCCCGCATCTCCAATGCTGCATCTCCTAGCCCGTCGAACCAAGTCTGCATCTTCAAGCCTGCTCATCTGAAGCCTGCGCCCCCCTGCATCTCACCGACTGCCAAGCCAAACTCGGAATCTTGTGTCGGCAGGCGGCGCCGAGCTGAATCCTAGCTGAAGTGCCCGGCCGCGCATCGAGCGCGGCGCCGCTCACCTGGGCACGGGGGGCGGAGGGGCGAGGGGTTGATCATGAACACCCTGGGTGCACGCTCGTAGGGTCGGTTGGTGGAGGACTCGAGCGGGAGCGCTCAAGGCTGACCTGTTCGGGCCAGGGGGGCGCCGCTGAGGGGCGCGAGCTCGGATCTGCAGTGGCACGTTGGGAAACTGAGGATCGTCTCCCAGGTCTTAGCCCCCGTTCCGATATAGGGAGGGGGCGGAAGGGGGTGGGGGGAAGGCGCGGTCGAGCGTGCTGCATCGATGGTGCACGAACTCAACCGGGTACATTCGGCGGCCATGTCCGATTTGTTTGGGCGAGGGGTCGGGAGCTCAAGGGAGATGCAACCAACGCCGACTACTATGAGGATGAAACCGTGTGCGATCGGAGAGGGCATGCTAAGACCAATGAGGGATCGGGTTCCATTTATTAGGCATCTCGGCGCCTCTACTGTTCCGTCGCTCGCAGCGGGTGTCGCGGAGCCCATGCCCAGGACGAAGCCACCCCCGATCGAGGGAGCCGAAGCACCTGTCCGAGGTGAACCCGCCCCCGAAGATGAGCATTCGCGCATATGGCACCGAGCTCTCTGGGCATTCCCGGGGCCCTCGGGCCCGCAGAAATCGCCCTGAGTCCGAAGGGCGTTCGACGCGGGCCCTTCGAGCAGGCCCATTCGGGGCCCTCCTCCTCCGCCTCCTCCCCCCCCTCCTCCTCCTCCCCCTCCTCATTGAGATCACCCTCGGTCCTCCTCGTCCTCGAGGCTCATCTTTCATCCCAGCGATCAGGGTGGCACTGAAGAGAACAGTGCGTGTGAGAGAGAGAGAGTGTGTGTGTGTGTGTGTGTGTGTGTGTGTTGGTGGGGTGGGGTGGTGTGTGTGTGTGTGTGTGTGTGTGTGTGTGTGTGTGTGTGTGTGTGTGTGTGTGTGAGTGTGTGTGTGTGTGTGTGTGTGTGTGTGTGTGTGTGTGTGTGTGTGTGTGTGTGTGTGTGTGTGCGTGTGTGTGTGTGTGTGTGTGTGTGTGTGCGTGCGTGTGCGTGCGCGTGCGTGTGTGTGTGTGGTGTGTGTGTGGTGGTGGTGGTGGTGGTGGGGGGGGGGGGGGGTGGGGGGGGGGGGGGGGGGGGGGGGGGGGGCGATAGGGGGGATTGCGGGGGGGGACAGGCGGAAGGCACATTGAGGATGCGAGTGGGGAGGACCGAGCTGCGATACGAACAAGGGCGGGGGGCTTCCCAGCCAGGGGAGCAGTGGAGGACCGAGAGGCTCGAGCTCAAGGCGGACGCACGCGGAGCAGAGCACGGGTGAGGGAGTACGATCGAGGAGGACATGATAGGGACAAGGATGCGCAGGTGGCCCCGTTACCGCAGTTCCGTCGCCCGCGCGGGGGCTGAAGATGAAGCCGCCGCCGACGAAGCCGCCGCCGACGACGAAGATGGAGCCGCCCCCGTCAAGGACGAAGCTGCCCCCGAAGATGAAGCCGCCCCGACGAAGCTGCCCCCGAATGCGAAGCCGCTCCCGATGATGAAGCTGCCCCCGAAAATGAAGCCAACAATAATGCTGTGCATGAGGGGGCCCTGGGGCGGGGCCTGCCAGCTCGAGGTTGAATAACTGGCGATCGCCCTGGCAGGCCCTGGACGGGGGGGCGGCGGGGGGCCTAACCCCCCGCGCCCCGCGCAGAGGCGGAAACGCGAATCCCCCACCCCCCCTGGCACCCCCAAATATAGCAGCCAGCCTGAACGGAGGTTGGCCGCGCGCCAAACAGGCTAGCTTGCGGCCAGCCACCCTATTCGTAATCAATGAACAGCGAGCTCCTCGGCCGAGCTAGTGATCTGCCAGGATCTGGTTCCTGGCCTGCTTGGCCTGCTCTTTGTCGGCGATCTTCTTGGCCTTCAGCTCGGCCCAAACCATCCGCATGAGCTGCCGCGACGCCTCCCTGCCGTCGACGACGCCTAGCGGGCCCATGCACTTCTCCGCCACCCTGTCCGTCAGCATGACAAACTGCTTGAAACCTCCAGGCCCCCAGCTTTTGAAGTCGATGCAGGTGGTATTCTCGCTCTCCCTGCGCCTGAGGTGCAGCCGAATCTCCTGCCCCGACTCGCCGACGTAGGACGTCTTGGTCTCGTCCTGGGCCACCTCTGGCGCCTCGTTGTCCTCGTCTAGAGCTCCCACCTCGGCGTCTGCCCCCTCGCCGTCCTCGTCGTCAACCTCTGGGTCGTGCTCCTTGTGCGTTTCCTCCTCTGCTTCCTCGGCCTCGTCGTAGTCCCCCTCCTGGTCAACCTCCTCCTCTTTCTCTTCCTCTTATGCTTCTTGTTTTTCTTCCTCTGTGTCGAGGTCGATTCCCGCAGGCCTCTTCATCGTAACTTTCGAGATCGTCTTCTGCACCTTGCCTGAGCCCTTGCCCTTGCCCGAGATCACGGCGCCCTTGCCTTTGCCCGAGATCATCGCGCCCTTGCCCTTGCCCGAGATCATCGCGTCTGTGACATTGCCCTTGCCCTTGCCCGCTGCTGCGGAGCCTCCAGTCGACTTGTCCTCGCCCTTGCCCTTGCTCGAGATCGCGTCCTTGACCTTGCCCTTGCCCGCCGCAGAGCCTGTCGACGTCGGATCCTTGCTCTTGCCCATCGCGGCACCTCCAGTCTCGCCCTTGCCCTTGCCCGCTGCGGCGGCCCCAGCCTTGTCCATGCCCTTGCCCTTGTCGGCTGCGGGGCCTCGAGTCTTGCGCTTGCCCTTGCCCTTGCCCGCGGGCGCCGTGCCCTCGGGGCCCTTGCCCTTGCCCTTGCCCTTGCCAGCTGGTACCGCGTCCTTGCCGGAGCCCGCCGCCGCGATCTTGACCTTCGCCTTCTTGGCTTTGGGGGGCGGCGTGGCCGCGGGCCAGGCGGGCAGCGCGCCTGAAGAACTGGCGGCCGCAGATGTCTGCGGGGCAGCAGCATTCTTCTTCTTCTTGGAGTTCGCCGTGCTCTTCTCCTTGCTGTCCCGCTTCTTCTTCTTCCTCTTGCCCGTCAGGCTGCGGTAGAACAGGATTCCGCGTTTGACTCGCATGGGCCCCCGAGCTTCTGGCTCCTCATCCTTGACCTCGTCGTGCTCGGGCTGCTGCTCCTCATCCTTGACCTCGCCGTCGTCCGCGGGCTGCTGCTCCTCATCCATGGCCTCGCCGTCCGCGGGCTGCTGCTCTTCGTCATTGACCTCGCCGTCCGCAGGCTGCTGCTCATCGCCTTCGACCTCGCCGTCCTCTGCGGGCTGCGGCATCCCGTCATTGACCTCGCCGCCCTCGAGGGGCTGCTGCTTCTCGCCATTGACCCCGCCGTCCTCGAGGGGCTGCTGCTTCTCGTCATTGACCTCGCCGTCCTCGATGGGCGTCGGGCACCCCTCGTCGTCCTCAACAGTGCTGTCCTCGAGGGGCTGCTGCTTCTCGTCTCTGACCTCGCCGCCCTCGAGGGGCCGCTGCTCATCGTCCGAGTCGGTCACGCACACCAGCATCGCCTACAGGCGATTCGTTTAAAGATGCTGGGCGATGGGGAAGGGCGAGAAGAAGGAACGATGAGAATAAGGAGAAGAGGCTGGATACAGGAAGACGAGGAGGAGATGAAGGAGGAGAAGTAATGAAGATGAGCGGGTGATGATGATGCTGCTGATGATGATGATGACGCTGGTGATGATGACGGGGAGGCGGAGACGGACCATGATGATACTGGGAAGACGAGGCACATGCATAATCAGGATGCTACTGGAGGGATGATGAAGGAAAAGGTTAAGGACGTGGATAAGGAACAGAGGAATAACAGACTGAACAGTGGAGATGTGCAAGGATACGGACGGAAGAGGCTCGAGCCGAGGTGGGCCCGAACTGACGGAGGAGGAGCCCCACCCCACTCCCACACACACCACAACTTGAAACCAGAGAGCGCACCCGCCTCCGCGGTTTTCAAGTCCCCCCCCCCCCCCCCCTCCACTCTAACACACAGCACCGCACACACCACCGCGCCACCGCCGCCAACCGCCGCCGCCCACCCACCCACACCCCCCCGCGCGGGGAAGGAAGAGGAGAAACGGTGATGGAAGGAATCTGAAACGAGATGAGGAGGAGGAGGAGGAGGAGGAGGAGGAGGAGGAGGAGAAGCAGGACGAGAAGGTAACGCCGCCCTCTGCAAGTGCTCTGACAGCTCTTTCTCGTCGACGTCGCTGTCATCGCCCGACCCGCCGATTGCAATTATGGCCTCGCGCGGGAGCGCAAGGGGCGAGGCTCCCGTTCGAGCGTGTACCCCCATCCGAAAACACGGATATAGCCGCCCCCTCTCTACGGGCATGGGTGTGTGTGTATGTGTGTATATGTGTGTGTGTGTGTGTGTGTTTGTGTGTGTGTGTTGTTCGTTCGTCAGGAGGGGGGGGCGGGGGGCCCTGGCGTTGTTGGTGCATCTTGAATTTCTGTGCGAAGTCGGACTTCGCGAGCGAGATGTGGTATCTGCCAGCATTGGTGCCCAGCACCTTCTGCCAGGGGCTGCGCCGCTGGTGTTTATCAGAATATGTGAACGGCTTCGGGGGCTCCTGGGAAATGAGCGGGAGAAGGCGGAGGACGAGGCGACGGAGAAGGATGAACAGGAAAAGGTTGGGCGAGGAGCCCAGCTGGATATGGGGGAGGATGGCGGATTCCAAATCATTATTATTTACATCCCCCCAGCCCCATATGAGTTGTTTCCGCGTGACCTCGCCGCCAGTCTGGGAGTCCGTCTGCATGTAGCGCTTCCAGTGGCTGTGCATCATGCGGATGCTCCTGGGCTGCACGAACCTGGGCGCTACTCTCTCGAAAGCGTTCGTTAAGCCCCGAGGGGGCACCAGAGCCCCCCCCCCCCCCCCCCCCCCCCCGATGGGGATTTCGAAGGCCGCCAAGACCCGCAAGGGGGGGGTCACAGCGAGCTCCCTGGGGAGGACGATGAGAACGGTTCATTAACGAGCCGTTCTCCTCGTCTTCTTCATCATCATCATCACCGACCGCCATCGCCATCGCCACCAGGATACCAATTACCACCATCACCACCATCATCCCCATCATCAGCATCAGCATCATTAGCATCATCGTCTCAGCAGCATCATCGCCACCATCATCATCACCATCGTCATCAGCACCATCATCATCATCACCATCATCATCATCAACAGTATCATCATCACCATCATGATCAGCACCACCACCAACACCATCACCAACACTGCACTATCAGCATCATCACAGCCGGTCAGTCTCATGAGCAGCACCATCATCCTCATCACCGCCACAAACATAAACGCCAACAGTATCAGCCTCACCATCACCATCAGCATCAACATCAGCAACATCATCATCACCATCATCGTCAGCACCATCATCATCGTTAGCATCGTTTTCATCCCCATGGCTGCCTCACCGCGTCGAGCTTCGCCTGGCTGGCCTTGCGGCCAGTTGCCCGTCTAATACTGTCTGCCATCAGCTCCTGGCAGCACAGCCGCCACGCATCCACGGCGCGGAGGAGGGGGGGGAGGATGAGGAGGTGGAGGAGGAGGAGGAGGGGAATCGAGGAACAGGGCGGGAAGGAGTAAGAGGATGAGGAGGGGGATGAGGGGG